GGCTCAGGCTACTCATCTACATTATACAAAGGTAAGGGGGTGTGAAGGGACTTATCATCACTCTTGTAACATGATTACCACGAAAGACATCCTAGCTTAGCAATTCCCCACATATCTGTCGGATCACATACCACTCTACCGAGCGTAAGCGTGGACACTTCAATCCGCAAAATATACTGACGCCGAGCAGGCCCTGATAGGAGTGATTTCCAAACGCGCCGCAAGTAATACGCTAAGCACCATGAGTCGACAGCTATTCCATCTAGTCCCTGTTCGCGTTTATCTTCAACAACATACCATCGGCAAATAAGATGACATGAACTTCGCGAGCTTCGTAATATAGCGCAACAGAACAAGGCGTAGCATGAGAAGCAACTGCTATAGCACAAGGCGTAGCAAGGCTATGCTCGGCATCACACCATTACAGCGCCTATACGGTTGACCACGGGAATTGCAGAGTTTGCGACTCTAAGTAAGACGATGCTTTGGAAAAAAAGAAATGGGAATGTGAGGGAATCAATTTGAAATCATTGGGCTGGCTAACTCAGCTCTAGTAACATCTTGCTGGATCAGTCTAAGGAAATAAAAAACAATTGCAATAAGCGAATTTAATGCACAATTTGATATCAAAACCCCGTTGTTTGCATCAAGTTTGGAGCTCACAAAAGCAAATTTCCGGGTGCTGTAGGTGACAACTTGTTCAAAACCAGGTCCAATGTACTCTTCAGTTTGTTCCAACTATCAAGTATATTGGAGTCATCATGATCTTGAAACAGATCAAAGGCAAGCCCTTGCTTGCGAATCTAATGAAATTCAATCGCCTTTTCGAGGAGTCTTTCGATCGAGCTTCTGATCAACTCGCTATGACGGCTCTCCGACAATAGTAGTCTGGCTTCACATTCCCTCCGGGAGTCTGCATACGAGCCAAACAATGAATTGAATGTAGATCGAAGAATTGCAATCAGGTTCTTGCGATAATCGTCATCTCGATACCGCCGGTATGCTGGATGGAAGCCATGCACGACATGCGCTGTGTGTTGTTTGTAGTTGAATTGAGAGACCGTTTTATTTTGTGCGCTGTTTAGCGATGATCGTAGATCACGAAGCTTAGCGTGCCGGAACGAAGCATAGAGACCACCATCCTTAGGTCTGAAGCATTGGCATGCAACGATAATGGGGAGCCTGAACTCGTGAATAAAATCAAGAGTCAGCTCAAACATATCATGCAAGGCTTGTAGGCGCTTATCATGATTATCTCCCAACCATGTGTCAGTCAGCATAGGAAACAATTCCAGGATGATTATGTCGTCAAGCTTGAATCCGATATCACTCAAGACTTTTTGCAGCCAATCTAATGTAAAAGTCCCCGTGACCATTTTGTCGAATTCAAGCTCATCATTCTTTGGGTTTTGAAGCAAAATGCATGGAAAATTCCGAATGCCGCATAGCAGTCGTCGGAAATTTTCAAAGCCTTGCTGCGGCAATCCATATTTGTCACGAAGCTTTTCAGCCCGGGTAAAAAAGGGATCATTTGGAAGAATTCGTTCGATAAGTGCAGGCTTGATTGTTTCCTTCAAAAGCTCTTCCAGCTTTCCCGGGGCTGGGATATGTTCCAAAAAAGGGTTGAAGGGAACTTTCGAGGTTTCTTCGGGCTTCGGGGTTTCCAGGGCTGGAATATGTTCCAAAGAAGGGTTGAAGGGAGCTTTTGAGGTTTCTTCAAGCTCCAGAGTCTTGAATTCGTTGGCGAGAACATCCACATTGGTGGCCATATTGAGTCAGACACGTGTGTAATACAAAGTAGCGAGATAGTTTCGGTATAAGACAGCTCATCTTCTTATATACCCTCTTAAGTCAGAGTTTACTGTGCTTGGGGGCTGGTCATATGGCTCGGTGCCAACTCATGGATGGGTAACACCGACGTCAGAACCAACATGTTGCTCTCGACACAGCCCGTTTTTTTATACAGTCGGCGTCATGATCGTATGGTTCGCAATCATTGTTGGTACTCGTGGCTGTGCGTTTTTATTACTACATCTCACACCTTTCAAGTCGCCCAAAGATCTTGGTCAATGGGGCCCAACCAATATCTACAATATACGTAATGATTGGTATAATGGATATCCATACACACAATCAAAAGCTGTTTACTGGTCACAAAGCATAGCCAATTTTGAGATTTAGTTTATGTGGCTTCCTATATATATCTTCTCTATATTTACATATCTACTAATACCGTTAAAAGAACACAACCTGTATTCTCAACAAAAGTCGATCAAGACTTACAATAATATGTTAGGACCATAGGTAACCGATACGTAAAGTCGGGAATGGCAGTACGTTGCAAGATAATAATTCTATAAAGGCCTGGATATAAAGTACTAACTGAGGCGAAGTAACAAATTGACGCCTTGAGGCGCATGTATTGAGATGCATTATAAAGCACGTAGCAAACTACTTTGTATGGTGAAGAGGACGAATAGCGGGGCAGCCACGACTTTTGCACCCAGAGGCTGAGCTCACAGCCACCTACCTAAACCAGGTGGCTTGTTTTCCTGGCCGAAGAAAAGGATGAGCGCCTACTTTGCAAATGACCGGAGCCTATTATCTGAGCTCAGGTAAACTACCATCGGTCAGCCCAATCTACCCCTGGAATACCGTAGTCGTCTGCATATTTCCATCAGAGCGATTTTTGGCACAATAAATTAGCACCGCAGCTCAGCAATGATCTACCAAGGTAGGCAGCTGCTCTTCTAACGTTCAGCTGTGGAGTTGCAGAGGCCGCGCGACTTTGATGATTCTCACCTGGTCTACACCATATAGCAGAGACTCTCATGCTCAACCCCGCTTGCGCAACGCTAAACTCGCTAGTTGATTCTAAATTAGTTCTACTCTATAATCCTCTCTTGCACGTAACTTAATACGTACGACCATAGGGTGTGGAAAACAGGGCTTCCCGTCCGCTCACCCGTACTTAAGCCACTATGGCCAGTTCTCACTACACGCGGCCCCTAATCCTTAAACGGCACCCTAGGGTAAGTGCAGGTGATTTAGGTTAAACTACCGGATACTCGGGTGAGAAAGGTGAGAATGAGGTGATAATTCTCACTTGAATTGTGGTTGGCTTTCCGCGATGGGCCTGTCTATATTCGAATATCCCCAAGAAGTGATGATTACCTTGACCAATAGCATCGTAAAAGAAAAACGTATCGGACCTATGTATTTGTGACTTGTTATGCATGAGGCGGAATCGCATAGGGCGCTAAGAGCTTTGATTGGTACCCTATATCGCCCCACTAGAGCGCCACAGATACCATCTCTTATCAAGCTGCCTCGGCGCTTAGCGACTAACTTAGACTAGCCCCCTATTTGAACTAATACCAAAGTGTAGAAAGAATATGTCTACTTACGCAGAGGTGAACTATGGATAATCCGATTGACATATGAAGCAGTGAGCTTGTATGACAGTGTCACAGACTTGGGGGAAAGGCTGCCTTAACTCGAGCGCTATGGTCGGAGCTGAGGATAACAGGGCCGGATGGAGGGCAGCGTAGATCGGAGAGCCAACGAATCACATACCAAGGAAAGGAAGTGGCGGAGGTTAGGAGCTCATTAATCTGGATCAATAGCAAAAATGCCTCGTCTGTGAGGTTTAGGGAGAAGGAAGGAGAAAAATAAAATCGGACGCTGTTGGGTGGCGGGGGTAGAGGGAAGGCAGGAGTTACATACAGTTAGGCACGCACAGCGACTGGTGGCGCTAATCCTACTTGATAAAACTAAATCGGAAGATTCCTTGACAGTAGCAGTCCACCATGATTGTCAGTGGTTTTGCGGATCGGAATCGTGGTGTTTTCGTATAGGGTAATCATCTGAACTTGGCTAAGTATAGTACGAGAGTGCGCTTCCCGATCTAGTTTAGCGTTTTATTGTATGTTTCGAGTTATAGCTCTCTTCATAAACGGGCGGCTTCATCATGAGAAAGAGCCACAAAATAAAATATTTGGATCATCCGTCGAAACCAACAATTTGCGCTTATCAAAATCTTTGTTATTCCAATAGCCAAACCCCATCTATACTACCCTGGTCAAAAAATGTCTCGAAGGGAGGTAGCAGCCAATGCTTTTGACTGGAATGCCTTCGTTAATGAACCAGATCTAAAAGTTTCCGGTGACTTTGCTATAGCTATAAAAGAACGGTTATATATCGTCTATATGAAATTTGCAAGGTAAGAAGATTGAACTCTTTAAGTTATTTCGACTAAGTAGTGCAGTTTCATATAGTAGCTAAACCCACCGGATTATGGATATTGGCTTCAAAACGTCACTAAGACGCCTTGCCGCAACATATATCGCCTCATAATCGATTGGCACCTAGGCCGAGATAGACGGACGAGAAAACAGGTTTCTTCACAGCTATATATATCATCGTGCGCACCGATAATAGCCAGGAGAAACGAGCTAGATCATCCTATATGTTTCGACCTAACTCTCAATTATAGAACGATTGGAAAGCAGGAAACGATCAACCCGGCGGTGGAGGCTCCGGGTACAAAGGTCATACAGACATACATCTTCTAAGAATAGGAACAGTATCTTTCGATGTGCTTATTAGACTACATCGATGGGTAGGCTATACGGTGGTCTATTATGTATTGCGTATGCAAATGACTAGTAGGTAGGCCTAGGGGGCTTGTTTGAACTAAATACTGCCTTGCGACTTTTTTTACGAGCTGGAGACCCCGTAAGGCGTAATCGATCGGGTGTAAGCTATAAAGCCACTTGTTTCGCACGAAATTTTTAATAGAGTAATAGAACATAAATCAACTTTGATTAACAAACACTCCCTCAATATGGGATACTCCGGGAACAACATAAACGAGGCCTTCGGTGAGAGATCTTATAGAAGCTATTTTGACCACGCTAACAGAATCAATCGTCTAAGAGCATTCAGACTCGCCTACGGTAGTTGTACGCGGTTCTATCGATTCTTCGGACCTAGGCACGGAAGCTAATCTTATCGTGATCGAAGACAATCCTGCTCCGCTAGGCTCAGAATCTAACCCAATTGTGATCCACGTTGAAGAGGATCATAGCTATTCTGAGATAGAGCGTTTGAGTTCTGATGGCGATACTGAGATCATCGCAGATTCCTATTGGGAGAGACTTTTCGGTGAAAGCTATAATATCTCATCGATTGGAAGTATAGCTAGTCGTTCGACCTCTATTGCAGCGCCGGCTCAATTGCCAGCCTATAAGAACCCAGAAAAGCCTTATGCATCCGGGAATTTATCCGCAGATTGTCTAGGCTCGAATGAACAAGCCCTGGAATGACTGAGGGTAACTCGTGCATCGAGCATGGCCACAGCTATAAGGTTGTAAAGGGTAGAGATGGTGAGTCTTCAACCACGCCTAGGTCTGGCATACTCTGTAATTACTTGCCAACATTACACTGAAATTTGGCGAAGGGGTGAGCAGGTTGATGTTTTGAAAGCAGAGAGACCTGCGGAAGTTCTCAGTATGCTTGGAGCTGTGGTTCCCAGTGACCTAGTGGGATCCAAGAAACGTAAAGCATTATATGGGGAAGGGAGTAAGATCAGACGATCAGATCGCTTGCTGAAAGGGCTATGCATCAACCGGGTCGTCTGTTCTTTGCGCAAATTCTATTAGGTCATTGCAAATCTTAGTAAGATTCAAATTTCTAGTATACGATTTCTTTCAACATATATGGCATAGTAGAGTAATGGCCACTTTAGTCGCCCTCCTTTTCTTTAACCAATGACGTGATTCGCTCACGAGCATTGTTGACTTGTTTTATTGCTTCCTGGACGGTTTCAGCGGCGCGGGTCTGTGCGATGCATCCGCAATTCATGTCATCTATATGGGTAAGTACTATGTAAGACCTATGTAAGACCTTTGAACTAGATTAGCAACTTACTATTATGGGTAAGTCGCGTCTGTAGCACGTATATACTCTAGAATAGCTCCTCGGACGCTCTGTCCAGCCTGCGATGTCGACCAGCGTTGCCCATTCGATAGCGACGATGCTGTGCGAACAAATCATAGTAGTTCCTTTCCTTCCTTAGCTTGCTGTACTTCTGCGGACCTGCATAAATCGAAGGAGCCAGGAACTTATATGGTATTGTACATGATAGAATAGTTATATCCATTTTCTTGTCTAACCTTTAGCCAATGTCTTGAGCATGATTAATAAGCACCACCACGTTCTATCGTGAAGAGACTCTATTACATCAAGCGGTATAGCATGGATCTCGAGGTACTAAATCCATACATTTCGATATATGCTCTATACTAGCTAGTAAAATTACACTGAAATTTTATAAGCGATTTAGGTAGCAGTTGACTAAGTCCTTACTCGTCTTTATCTTGTTAACTCTATGGGTCTCTGCTCGCCCACCAGCCCCGAAATATTCCCCGTCAGGACGCGCAGCCCATGCCACAAAGGAACGCACAAGGGAGCCAGCATTCGCCCAATCACCTTCTCAACTTTCCTACATCTCCTGGTCCAAGGGTGATGTCTTAGTCCCTAGTGAGTGAGTCACAGAGGTAAGCGGGGGATTTTGCCGTCGGCGCAAATTCGTCTGCTAATCGGGTGGGTGTGAACCGTCGCGTCCGATTGTACGTCATCCAGCGAGTGAACTAACATGAGATATATGATCAGCTTCAAATGTGCTAGTAGGAATAGGACAAACAGACAGTTGCAATCCGCACTCCAAGCCAGAGACATCGATGTCTTCTAGGAATAGCTATCGAATGTTCTTCCGTTGATGGTCTGTTGTCTTCTGTAGGAGCTCCCTCGAAGAATCTTTCTGGGTAGTAAAGCTGGCTCCATGCCTGTCCTCTGAGCAAAAAGTCCTCCGGTAACTGTTGTGTAGTTGAGTCGTCAAGAAGCGGGAATGATTCGTCTTCGATATTCGAAATGTTCGTTCCAGGATTGAACAAGGTGTTCAGATAAGTTGCAAGTAACGACCACGGAACCAGCGGCTCTAGTCGTTGTATAGCCGCTGGGTTGAGCGTGAGACACCATACAAATGCCATAGAGATATGTCTTATCACGAACAACAGCCCGTTGCAAACGAGCGTGCCATTCCTCCCGCCTGAGACCTCTTTCGCCGAGGCTTCGCTTCATCCGACTGGCCGGGGAATCAATCATCTCGTCCCTTTAGCCCAGAATGTTGGTGTAGTCCACTCGCATCCGCACCGGTTCGTTGTCCCGCTTGGGCTTGATCAGATGGAAGTTGTAGTCAATCTTTACCTCGTAGACCGGGTTCTCAATGGGCTCCATAGACCGGTGCTTCAGGTGGTGGTCGGGCTGGAAGACTTCATCTGCTGGTTTCATATACAATGCGGGGGAACGGACCTTCTCCAATATGGTCACGGAGCGAAATGATCGTATCTTCGGCGCCGTCAAAAAAAAATACGCTCACACTCCCGCGACCCGGCAGGATAGCTGTAGTAAACATGGAAGATATCCTCCGAATTCTCAAAGACCATATACAGCACAGTGTGATTTGTTGTGAAAACGGAGCGCTTCATCTTGGGAATATCTCGGAATCCGAACAACCGTCTGCGTCGTCCAAAGTCGTTGTTGATGGATGCCTCGGGCCCGTCCAACATCGTGGAGCCGTACGCGTCGCTGCCGTCTTAGTCATTGTTTTGATACTCATCGCTGTATTCCAGACCAAGTTTGAATCAAGTTGTTTTCGATTGATTCATTTATTGATTCAACCTGTTTACTTTTCAGCTCTAGCTTATGCCTACAGAAAGTCTATGTATGCTACACAATACGTAGGCTGCTGCACGAAATGTGATATGTTTGAGCAACGGTAACAATAACATGGTATATGATAGACTGCCCTGTAGAGAGGTCTTGTTCAAGACCGCCTTTCTCCATTCCTCCTCTTGAAAGGAGAAACATCGTGGGTGGCTGAATATGGATGGTGGGGCAACTTCTTCCTCACGAGCAGCCTCCTTCAGAGACCCTCCTGCGTAGCTCTTATCATTCGAGACCTTTCTCTTTTCATTCGCCTTCTTGAAGGTCAAAGCATTGTGGGTGGTCAAATGTGGATAGTTGATTGAAGTGGGTGGATGGAGTGGATTGATTGTTGGAGTGGTTGGGTGAAGTGGATTGATTGACCAGCCTGCCGATTGTCCCGAAGTCGGAAGGCCCGCCACGGTCAGACTGGAAGTGGTTGATCGAGGTCGTCGATTGAAGTGGATAGTTATCGAAGTGGTTGGTTTATCACACCAGCCCGCCGATTATCCCGAAGCCGAAGCCCGCCACGGTCAGGCCGGAAGTGGTTGATCGAGGTGGTTGGTTGAAGTAGGTTGATTGAATTGGGTTAATTAAAATGGTTGGGTGAATTGGACCGTTTTACTAGTCCGCCGATTGTCCCGAAGCCGAAGCCCGCGACGGTCAGACTGGGAGTGGATGATTGAAGTAGGTTGATTGACCACTCTCTTGATTGAGGTGGATGATCGAGTTGGATGGTTGACTAGATGGTTGACTTGGATGGTGGACTTGATGGTTAACTGTATGGTTGGGTGATGGTTGGAGTGGAGGATTGTAGTGGATGATTGTTGATTGAAGTCGTAGGAAGGCTTTGTTCCTTTTTTTTTATCTTTTTCTTTTTCTTTTTTCTTGCTTGTTTGTCTTTGTATTCATGTTTCTTTTTTGCTTTCGCCTTTGCTGTCATTGCCAGCCTGTCGACTTTCCTGAAGCCGAAGCCCGTCACGGCAAGACTGGATGTGACTCAGTGAATATCTCTGGTATTGTCAGCCCCATGTCATGTTGATCAGGTAGAATATGACGGGACGAGATGAAAGCAGACGTACCATAGGAAATGAGTGACGACACAGACAACAAGAAATGATCTCATGAAGTGGGAGATGCAAGACGGAAAGAGCATGTGATTGAGTTGTCTGAACAATCAATGTAAGTATATGGAAGGAACAAAGAAGAAGAAAGAGATAGGCAGAACATACAAGTCATATGATAGACGATGAACATGACAGGTGCTAGGCACGTTGAAGGGAGATGTTGTTGTGTGGTTGAGTTGCCTAAGGGAGGAATGTAAGTAGATGGAAAGAACGAAAAAGAAAAAAAGGAGATAGGCAGAACATACAAATTTGGGAGTCATGTGATAGACGATGAGCATGGTAGGCCAGACATGCTATGTTGTTATGTAGTTGTCTGAATGATTAATGTAAGGAAAGAACAACGAAGTCGGAAATGGATGGCATAGCTGACCTGACATGTGATGAATGTGGACGTAACAATGTCTCAAGGGCATGGCGACAGTAGGCTTCATCTCATCGGATATGGATGGAAGTGATAAAGCTTAAGCTGATGATGGAGGACATCAGTTGATGATGAAAGAACTGATGGAAGATATAGGATGGATAAAATATTTGATGAAATTTTCTTGGTGGTATGAGGATGTGGAAAGATGAAAAAGGAAGGGAAAAAAAGAGGAGGGGTTATTTATACCCCAAGGGTCTGGAGTGCCTATTGCCCGGGGTGTCCCTTAGGTCACCCCCCATTTCTCAACTTCCCCTCCACAACTGCTTGCTCTATAAGTTTAACCCACTTCTTATGATTAGTGTAGTCCCTAGAGTCGTAAAGAGAAGGTGCGACGCTATATACACTCTATAGGCTTACACAACTAGATAATATTATCACCACTCTCACAAATCGATCCGGTTATATTCCAGCTCTGATCCTGTCCCGCTAGGTACGTCTCATGGAAACGCGTCGACTGAAGATACAGGTCGTTGAGATGCGGCCCCGGGGTAAGATTTATAGATCACTAAGGTTAAACGCTAAACTCTGTTTGGTATGGTGTCCACGGGTACGTGCACGGTCCTTGTGTCATGCAGTACAACCTTAGCATTTGACGCCCACCTAAGTATAGGCAGTCTATAAAGGAAAGCGATCTAGAAAATGTTTCATACTTGGTTGGTACTGAGAACTCTTCGAATATAATACGATTAGGCTCTCTATAATCTCTATCTGCATTTCGGCAATATGTAGTCCTCCTGATCATCGCTCGAAGCAACACTAGGACTAGGTATTCATAGTAATATTGCTAAGGTAGAATATAAAGTAAGAATAGGAATCAGGTCCTTAGAAGGACCAGCAGAATTCTGCTGATTCCCACCGCCAGCCAGGATCCCGTGATGAGTTCACCACACCACCCGCTTACTACCCGGTAATAATACACAAGCAATTTCCTCCTCAGGTACTGCCCTGGTAAATGATAAGATGCATCTTTCCCCGTACTTCAACCCCTAGCTGTAGCATTGTGTCAAGGGCCACAAAGACCCATTGGACAGACTTCTTCCCCGAAAGTAGCTTCAATGTGTTGTCAGCGGTGATGTCTGTTTGTATGTTTTTCGCTCTTATGCGGCCAATTCGTGGATCGTATAGGGAACAAAATGGCCCAACCACAACCTGTGCCTGTCCTGGCCTCCAGAGTCTGTCAAATTTGGGTGCTGGTTGGATCCCTTTTCTAGAGGTCCAAACGTACTCCTTCCAATCGGGAGAAAACCGTAAGTCCTCCCGATGGAGACCTCTTACAAATGAAGATGGAACTTGTATATGGATGACACAAGTTATTGCTTGGGGACATCTGTGGGCCGCCCATTCACGGTACTTCTCTGCTGTTTCTTTATGGGGGGTCCAGTAATGCGCAGAAAATGCCCAGTTGAAGTCTCCTCCTTGAACGCTCGCCAGCTGCATAATGTTGATACTACCATCTTCGGCGATAAGGCTTGTTTCTTCGAAAGAAAGCTCTAGGAAAGATTTGCCTTTATAAAGAGAAACAGCATCTTCGAGTATCTCCACATCTTCTGTCTGGACTTGGATATGATCCTTAGGAAGGTTTAAGTCCGACGACTCGATGTTGATGGTTGCGGCTGCCATCGGGGCTGGCACTTCTTGACTTGGGGGTGGAGGCCTGGTCCCGGCAGTCTGGCATTGACGCTTGGAGGATTTGGTCTTCCTCGCCATTTGCTGGGTTGCGAAGCTTGCAAGGAGCCTTTGGTGGTTTCGCAGCGTAGCGTAGTTCGTTGCTACGCTGTCTTTTGCCCAAAAGAAGGGCGACTGAGTGCCGAAGACATCAGTGAAGGCGGGATCAAGTATAGCCTCCACAAGTTTTGTGGTTAGGCCAACTGCGATGAGGGCTTGGCGTGTTCCCATTTCCTCATATCTCTGTGTGTTTAGGCTCGCCAGATGACCGCAGGCGTAATCAAAGAGGGAATCTGGGTTTTCTTCCGGGTCGGGTCGGTTTGCATAACGTGAGTAGAGATCTATAGCAGTATCAGCTGAGAAGCCGATGAACTCGAGAACTTCTACGCTCTCATCCGAAGTGGGGATGTCAAAGGTTTGGACGATTCCATCTTGGAACCCTCGCGTCTCAATAGACACGGATGAGGAGGACGAGGATGAAGATCTTGGTGGCGTGAATGTAGCGGATACTTTTCGTTTGCCGCTTTGTGTTATCGCTTGTGGCACTTGTAGAAAGACGTTCTCCTCCTCTAAGCATCGGATTTGCTCTTGAGAAAATACACTTGGGCTGGAGGAGAGAGCCATCGTCGTGTGTCTGAGAAGACGGTGGTAGGAGTATATGTTGATGTTAACGGCCAACCTTCGTACGCCTGTTTTTCGGGGTATTTGTCTGGATTAGGCTTAGTTTTGCACTAACTTCAAGACCACTTTCGACACCACCTATACCGTATTTTTGTAAATATTTACATATGTACTACTATTCCGTACTACTACATAGCTAGGTAACCGGCCCCTGAAATTCTTTTACAAAATTACGGACCCTCGCCTGCGAGGGTCCGCCACCTAAACGGAGGGGATCACATACTATCTTAATTTTGATTCTGTAAAGGTAAAGAATACTGATTGGTCAGGCCAGTACCTGTTGACTAGGCGAATGACTACAGTGGAGGGGGAGAACGTGTTGTATTCTTTCACACAGAGACTAATACTTGCTAAAGGAAAGTGTCCCAAGAGGGTCCTCATCTGCCTATATGCTCCCCTATATCGTGTGTCATAATGATAATTCCATCAATGCTTCCGAAGCTCTTTTCAGAAGTGTGGGGGTAATGATGATGGAACCCTTTATCCTTTGCAAGTATGAAAGAAATACTATGTACAAAGGTTCCTGGGGCATCAGCGAGGCCTCAGGTTGTAAAGGTAATTCATCCTTTACACCTAGCCCGCGAAAAGGCGTCTGGTTTACCTTTCTCACCTTCTTTTAAGCCTCCTAGCAGATTCGACACTAGGCTGCGCCAAAACCCACGAAACCCAAAACCCAACCCAACCCAACCCAATGTATGGGCCCCCATTAAACCCATTAAAACCCATTGAATCGTAAAAACGTGACTTTCACATGACTACATAATTTATGCAGTTCTAGGTGGTTTTTTTTGGTATTCTGTATACATATGAAGTCTGAATTTATATATTACCATCTTCCAACTTTGTCAAATATATCAAATATATATCTCTACAATTTTACACCACAACATATATTATATCACACTTATAAAATAAATCAATATGGTATTCAAATATCTATAACTGATAATAAACTCACCATTCATATAGTTATTACTCTCTATTAAAGAGACATAATAGTTGTATTACTAGATGATTATGGCAGACATATTAAAACAGCGATAAAAAACCGTAATTTATCGATATTATATAAGCCAAATTATGTAGCTTGGCATTGCCTAATCCGGAAAATAATACAGAGAATGGGTCGAAATGGGTTTTGGGTTGGGTTTGGGTCTGGGATCTCGACCCACCAGTGGGTTTTGGCGCAGACTAACTACACCTATCTATATATATCAATAATAATAATCTGATCATCTAATTCTAGCTCTCGGGCTTAAGATATAATAAATCATATAAAACCGTTGATCTAACTATAAAACTTTAGGAACGAAGTAATAAACTATCGTATACTAACCGAAAATATTACATTAAGAGCCCGACCGCTCGATAGGCTTAAGGAATAAGATTATCTATAGGACTTTTCCTAGGTATGTTACGCACTGCAAACTGGTCACAGTTAGGGTTAGTAGATCACGGGTTATACTTGCAATAACTTCAACGATCTGTCTCTCAACCGTACCGTTGCCAACAGGCCTTACACGGGCTAAGCCCTTTTGAGGGTATTGAGGAACGATGCCAGGTAGAGCGCTCAATTGATCTATACCGAGGTATTGGTCAATTGATGGGTGTTGTCAAGTTATAATCAAGTAAGAAGTCACGCTGGTAATCCAAAGGTAAACACTAGTAACAATGTATAATTGAAGACGAAGGACTCAACTAAGTACATGAGGGAGAGTCCTTATATATCCTTCGTTTCCTACTCCCTGGGTGACTCCCCTGGAGTCACCACCGGAGTCACCGTATACTCCCAGATATACTCCGCGGGAGTAGATGCGGGAGTCACGGTCACGTGATCAGTTCATCCGGTGCCCCCGATGACACAGTAGGAAGGCGGTGTGAGTGGGCAGATCTGGTCGATAGGTTCTCGACGGCCCGTTCGTGCAACATGTGGGGTTGCCATTGATTGGTAACTGGTATGTCCATAACAGTATACTACTAGACATACATTCCATCAATAGGTCTCTCTCCACTAAACTCCTTCGAAAACTTCTTATTTGATTCCGCGGCTAACTCCAGGTATTTATAGCTCACTTGACTAGCGTGAGCCTCAGCGAGAGCATGTGCGATTGCGGCGATGTATTTACTATTCGGTGTTCTAACCTCGAGGCAGATTTTAGGGACCGCTGCGTAAGGTGGTTTTCTAGACCTGACAATTTCGATCTGTATGTGAGCAGATCTAGGTCGGCGTAACGGGCTAAGGGCAAAAGGGTTGGTAGTGCTGCGCCTACTAATCGTTCCGTGACCTGAGACGAAAGACGAAACGCGTAGGATCCTATTGCTGCATCTCTTTATACCGCTTGTGGCCGCTGCTGTCATCGCCGGCTTAGTAATGATGCACCTGCCAATCGTTCCGCGGCCTGAGATAAAAAGACGAAACGCGTAGGATCCCGCTACTATAAGGCAACCTTGGTTTTTTTATGCGACGATCTCGTGTTGTATACCAATTGATCGCCTGAAGGCAGATTTTGGGGACCCGCTACGTAAGGCGTTTTTCTAGACGTGATAATTTCGATCGGCATGTGAGCACATCTAGGTCGGCGCAACGGGCCAAGGGCAAGATTGCCTTAAATCAATCGTACTGATCGGAGCAACGGAAATAAGGAAGAGCGAGTGAAAGCAGCGCAAATTGCGTGACGGGTCTGACTAGTCGCGCCGAGAGCAACGCATGTGGCGGAGCTCGGTGATCCGGATGAATTAGAAAAATGCCTCATCCGATCAACCTTAGAAGGAGGGTAAGAAACGACGAACATACAAGGGGACAGGGAGGCTTTTATAGAACCACGCACGGGAAGGCACACGGACAAAGAGCGCTAAACTAAAGAAGATTAGCCCTAAGAGGGTAATTCGCAGTCCCCCTCCGATATGGTGTAGTGGCTAACATCGCCGTCTCTCACACGGCAGCCGGGGGTTCGATTCCCCCTATCGGAGTTTTCTTTTTTTTTGGGGTTCGTCATGGAAAGAGAAAAAAAAGGTTAAGGAATGAAACAGCTGTTGAATTGAGGAGCTTGCGTCAGAAAATGTCCGATCCATCGGCCGCCAAGTATGCCGCGCATTCAAAAAGCAGTTGCAAGGAAACACTAATTAGGCAGACGTGAATTACGTACTCGATATTTTGTTCCGATTATTTGGAGTACAAGCCTTAGAAGTTCGAAAGACGATTGAGACTCTCGGCTGCCTTCCGTACCCATGGACTGGTTGTTCTGAGATGAGCCAAGGATTTCCAGGTACATTTCCGAGTTGGGACGTTGGAATAGGTTGTACTGATCGTCGGCGGATCCCTGTCAAGGATAGAGTTCAATGTTAGTCAATAGTGAGACTTTTCCTGGTTGCACGCGGAGTATGATTTATGAAAGGGCTGTAGAGGACTAGATGAAGTATATTAACAGAAAACTAGCGATGATACAGAAATATAGTACTTGGACTTCAGACTATATTGGAGTAAGAAGGCATAATAAAGAAAGTAAGCTACATACATACATATGTATTCGTACGGAGTCCTTATCCAACGTATACTTATCAATCGAATAAATTCAGAAACATACATACATTTGGAGCACATTACTTTAATTGCACGATTTGCGACGATCTGCGCGATATTACCCCAACAACCTTGGGGACTTCTCCAATTCCCACTCCACTTTTTCTGTATCTATGCACATATGGAGTAATTGTGCCAAGCTCCCCCAACACCGGTTAGGGAGCTGCACCGGATAGCACATTGTCACCGGATAGCTAATTGTAAGGATCCGGTGTCTTGAGTATGTCAACTTAATGCAAATAGTATATGAACACAACGTAGTCATAGGCTTAATTGGATTAACACTCAAGCTAGTTGGGCGGAATATAGGAAGACATGTAAGGCGTAAATGAGGACTTCATTACTGCATATCAAACTTAATTACAATTATCAATTATGCTTAAACCAACCTTGGAAGAGAAGGGGTAAACCTTTTACGTACAATATTTATATGGGGCGCGTTTTAAAGTCCTCCTTACGGAGAACACTTCCATGTCATATATTTAGAACTAATCTTAGTTGTAGGTCGATTAAACCAGAATTACGTAGATCACTATGCTTTTTCCTTCGGCTAGTTTGAGACTTAAGGGGGAAATATGATGTTATGATCAAGTTGTATTACGTATGAAGTTTCAGCACAAAAGATATCTGATCCTTAGAGTTTGCTATTCGGTGCCACCAACGCCTAGGCATATACAACCATATGTTGAGCGCTTGGCGTTAGCGTTTCAACTTCTAAAATTGGGGTTGCTATGGGTGCCTATAGCATAAATGGTTTAGAGTTTTAAATAGCCTCCGAAAATTGTCCGCTATCCCTCTTTAGGGATTATTCAGTATAGAAGATAAGATCTCTTCAAGATACTCGAGATTCTAGCAGTGAGTGTATAATCGTTCTCTCTGTTCGAGAGTCGAGAAAATGACCATTTAATGTACCTTTATGTGTTAAACCCTGACAAAATATATCTTGGACAGACCTCGGGAGTTTGGTCGGGCCCGCAGGGAGTTACTTGGCAAGGACCGAATACGACCTGCATGTTCGGAGGTCCACGGGTAAACCAAAACGTGGTGAATATCAATAACCTAAACTTGAGAAGTCCGTCGACTTCGGCGTCGGACCTATCGGAATCGGATGATGCATGGCGTGCATCGGGCTCCGCCAGCATATATAAACCGTGACCATGCCGGTCATAAAACATCTACCTGTACTATACATCCATTATCTCTATTTCACTGGACTTGAGTGAAGAACCACAATCAAAATGGGGTTCTCTCTTCAGGCCCTCGTGGTTTCAGCTCTAGCCATTACAAGCTATGCCTCTCCTTTGATTCACTCCCGGGCAACAAACACCTCCTATACAAACTCCAACGGCTTGACATTCAATCA